TAGTCATGGACAGGAATTGTGGTAACCCGGGAGAACCTGGCAAATAGCGATACAACTCGTCCGAGTGTGCACTTAGATCTACCTAGCCATAGGATTGCTATCACAAATGCTATTATAATGTCCATAATAACCTAATAGGTATCTCTGGACAGGAGGTGGGTATCAGGCTAGCCTTACATACGTCATCCTGGGCGGAGCGTTGTCAGTTAGTATACCTGCTACTTGTGATGATACTGTTCCTGAATGTAATGGAGTGTTAGTTCGTGTAGATGACTACTAGTAGACGTACGAGTTATATTCTGCCACATTTGTGAGTTAGCATAGCTTCTAGCCCCTACTGCTTCCAAGGTCTCATATCGTACTGCTGTGGCTAAAACAGTTATTGGAATAACCCTTCATGATGGTGATAGGGTTGGGCTCACTCAAAAACATGTGAACGGCTCTCGAGAGGAACTGAGCTGCTATGTAATGCTGACCATTGGAGCTTACTAGCTTTGACGATGATGATGATGATGCTTTCATATGCTTCGTTGCTAGGACGAATAAAACAAAGCCACTCCCCAAGCAATGAGTATGACATTCCCTCGCTTGGTCGAGGATACGTTAGTCGTGTTAGAAGACAGATAACGCAATATGAGAAGTCTCGGGAAGAAGAAAGTTATCAATGACAACAACTCCATGAGGAATTCATGCTTGGTGACACTAAATCTCAGTGTCACCCTAGTGACTGAGACCCACTATGAACGTTCTTTGACGAGGTATCAAAATGATTAATTATACAATCGTGAGAGTCGATAACAATCGGGTCAAGAGCAACCCCTAACCCGATAACAGAGGCCTCAGAGAGTGGCGATATGATGAGCCAGCATCCTACTAAGACTCAAGGCTCAGTCGACATGTTCAACGTGGTGGGTTGGCATGCGAGGGTTAGTGGAACTTAAGAGGATCATCTCCAATACGATGAGATCGTGGTCTTGGTCCGGAACCTAGGCGAATAATATGGCCTTGCCTTGGTACTCGAACCTCTTTTGGAAGCTTGAGTGATCCCCTTGCTCGATCCTCTCGTGGTCTATCTTCAAGAGGTGTCATCTCAGGCACGGCATCGGCCTCAACTATAGAGTCATCACGGCCTTCTGGTGTACTATGATAATTATTAGGTCTATGAGAAGTGACCTCCCTCGTTTTAATATTATACCACACTTCTTCCCCAACCACTACTGCTCTACGCCAATCCCCCATACGACCATACAGGGCCAACCATCGCTCATCCCGATACTCTGCTACTGTGGCATTATCATCATCGACGGCCTCAGAGACTTCTGAGAGATATAATTTCGTGGCGTGCGAAATTCTCCGTATTGCTACCGTTTATATGAGATCGTCCTTCCCCCGGTCCAGGACGATGCCAAAGCCTATCATGACCACACCGACCACAAACCCCATCGGCTCCCCCTAAGGTATACCATAGGCAACCACAAGGATCGTAGCCGTCATCAGGTTGTTGGAAGCGACACCTATCATTCATATCTAGGGCCATGAACCAAAGATTCTCATCTGGACTAGTTTCAACCTTGGGTATATCCTCCAGCACACCCGGTAGATTCTCCAAACTGCCGGGGATGGCCAATCCCTGATCATTCGTCGCTTCTTCAGTACCCTCAACGATGCTAGCCGAAATCACGTCTTCGGTAGCACGCATGCGCAGATTCTTCGCAGTGCGCGACTGAGCGTATCCTTCGGCCTCTCCCTGTGAGGCAGCCGACTCCTCCCTATCGCCGCCACCATCTACCCCCATAACCTTCTCCAGCTGAGCCAAGCCCTCAGCTGCGTACATATACGGCTGGTGTGTACCCTCAAGATTGACCGACAATTCCAACATACTTCCATCCCCAGCCTTAGTGGTAGATACACTTACTGCCACATATGGTGCAGGGAGGTAACCCCATAGGGCAGTGGTAGGGTTGGGGGGCCGCATAGACAATGGACAGGATATCTCATAATCAGTACCCTGCAATGAACGGTACCTGATAGAGATATATACAACTCTAGGAGCACTCCAACTAGTCAACAGTAATAAAAGTGTTGGTATTAATGTCATGTCATTCGATGAGATATTTCGTTCCAGGATGTGGTGATCTATTCTAGGTTATCCCTCTGAGTTCCAACCTAAGAGGTAGTGGTCTACCCTACCTTTGACATACCCAAATATCATCCTCTCACAGTCGACTTGATCATCAACCGAAGGAGGTGGAGGAGGCTCCATCTCATCATCGGCACTCGGTAGTTTTAATGACTCTATCGTTGCTGCTACAGCTGTACACAATTTGCCATTCTTCATAAAATACACTCCTCCGCTTCGCTTCGCTCCGTCCGCTTTCCTATCAATTATCATAGTTATGACATCACCATTGCCATAACCTCCCACTAAGCTCTCCTGATAGAGCCTCCAGTCCCCTGAATAGATCAATCCCTCAGAGGAATACCCAACACTATACGGGACATGACCTGCGTACTCAGCTTGAGGGGTCGGCCTAATCGATAGACCTAAATAGACTATTACTTCCACGGGCATAGTCTTCAAAGTGAATTCAACAATACACAAGGGTTGTAGTGGTACGGCCATGTTCGATAGAACTGTACGGGCCTCTTCTGAGGGGATTATAATTATATCCTCTTGCCCTTTCCGGTGGTGACACCAGTTGGTGTCACCACCATCGGGTACATCCATCATCCATGAGCTTACAACCTTATCACTCTGCATCGCTTGCCAATTCGAGATGGGATAAACCTCAAAAGGATCACCGTATAATAAGTCTGATCGGACCTCAGACAATCGATAATCTTCTTGAGATATATCCTCAGCTTCGCTCCGCCCTCCCTCTTTAACCATCCAACTAAATGCCACCCTAGATGCCTCGTCAATACCACACCTTCGTTTAATCTTCTCAATATCGACTCCTGGGAATAACCTCTGACCCCATGAAGACTCCAACAAGCGTACTAGAGCCTCGCCAAAGCAAGTCATAATGGTTTCCTTCAATTCCACTACAAGCATTGTATCCCTATAATAGTACAACAACATCAACAACCCTAAGGCGAGCCCTACGAATATAACAACAACTACGATCACCACTGTAGTAGCAGCTGAGGGAGTCGGGCGTACAGGGAGGGGCCGTCGAGGGTCGTAGGGATAGTGAGGAGAAGGTGAGCTCATAAGAGGGGGTAACTACCTACTCAATGATTATGATCGCATACACAGCTGTTCAAGGAGTGCATAGTGGTACTAGTAAACTCGTTCACTAAGACTATATTGGCACATCACTTCAAGAGTGATTGACAAGGGGGAGTATACAAGAAGTAGAAGAAGGCAGTTCGTAATCCGCTTATTGTGAATCCCCGAGCATGAATTGATGAAAGAAAACAATACGGCAAACACAGTAGGGCTGTGGTACCAATATCAACTTCCAACGCAAAAGCTGAGGAGATTTACACTTACAACATCACAACATCATCATCATGAGGGCCTAACTATATATTTTCCTTCTTTTCCTTCCTACCAAATTTAAAGCTCAAACCACCCCTGAATTTCTTCTTGGCAGCCTTCTTTAAAGTGTTAATATTAATTTTATTACTACTCCCCTCGAGTAGCCCTCCATCTACAGTATCACCCTGTTCAATAGCTTCCTCATCATCTTGTGCTACTACCCACATGAACAATACTTCCTCATCGTCGTCGAGCATCTTCACTTTAACAACTTCACCGTCTTTCCGTAGACTCAATTCCGGGATGCCCACAAGTGATGGCTGACCACTTCTAGAGTCGATTAACTCCAATTTGAGATATTCCGGGATTTCCGATTCTTTCTCGGCCGATTCCATAATGACTCTATAATAATAAGAGGCCCGCTCAAGGCCATTGGCGTTGCAGCCAACACGCTCACATCGGATGGACAGTTGACCGTTGTGGAATCTGATGCAAAGGAACCCAGGTTCAATTCTCGGCTAAAGCATGTTACTACCTTATAACATCTCTTCCTTTCTTGTCTCTACTATAATATCCATTCTCCCTGGGTGCCGGCATACCAACTGGTTGGCCTTCCTCTCCAATAGATGGGGCCCAAGGAAAATAGAAGGGTTCATCATAACCATAATATGATAATCTCAACATAGTATTGTCATGTTTAAGCAAGAGAGTCAACGAGAATACATCCTTATCACCATTACTTGTGAGTAATGCCAACTTGTAGTACTGTGGGTCATCACCATAAGCCTCAACACCATACATAAGCCTCTTTCCAGTTAGTGCAGTGGGTAGAAGGGTCTTACCTCGCGGGCAATGCATCGATACAAATTTTATTCCAGCGTCCCGAAACTGGAAGTAACATTTTTGATACTGTCCCTCCTGCCCAAAATAGTACCCATACGTTCTAGGGTGCGGATAAATAGCAGGGGTCTCAAGTATACCCAAATCGAAGCGTTCCCATTCGAATAATGTATCCTTACCACTAGCATTGTCTCTTAGCTTTAAAAAGAGGGCGTTATCACTCACCGCGATAGAATAATCATGCACATCATTATCCGTACCGAAATAGGACAGTCCTATCTTAGAATATTTATGAGCTGTGAAGGGATCAAATAGGCGATCCGAAGAAGGGGCTCTAGAAGTAAGAGGCCAGCATGTTAGCTTGCCAGAGAAGGGCTCTGATACATCTTTATGAGGTGGACAAGTCATGGATAATGTGTTTATCATGGATAAGCCAACTCTAACTTTAATTCTACATCCTTGATATTCACCTTGACCGAAATAGTATCCAACAGTCCTGATGAATAGTCCATCATCATTGCTAGTAGATGTCTTCCCTTCCACATGTTGCCCCCAATTTAATATATAAAATCCAGAGCTATGACTAATCACCATAATTGTATGACAGTCTTTATGCATAGCTAAATGAGTGCTGCCCTCCCACCCATTATTAAATTCCGTCCAGTCGACATAATCCTCGTCATTGCTCGAACCCAACGTTGGTGTGCTAACCACAACATCATCATACTCCCATTTTGCAGGAATACCCAAGTCCTTCTTCAAACAGTGCCAAGATCCGATTCCAACACTTGACAAAGTGCGTTTCCTAAACACCATTCGGCAACCGAATAAGACACCTGTACCGAAGTAATAGCCTGATATCCTCGGACAGTGGTGAGCCCCTTCAGAGAAAGCATCATCTCTGCTGCTGCTGGAGCTCTCACTACGAATGCTACGCCCAATACCGCTACTGCTACTACTAGA